TGGCGGACTACTTAAATTAGACAATGACTAAAGTTGTACATGTGGCTTGTTGTACACTCATCATGTAACTGTAAAACTTTAGGAAACTATTCATGTGATAGTTCCATAATAACAAACTAATAAAAATCTAATCGGCCAAGGAAGTGGTCTTAATAACAAAAAAAAAAAAATAAAAATAGATTAGAGTTACTATGAGATAAATAGTATATATATTAATACTATTTATAATTTTTACTACAGACAGTATTTCTGCTATATAGTTATATAGTCAACTTTAGCTTCTTTTGTTTTTACTTTTTCTTATATATATAGTATATACCCTAAAATAATACATTTTTTATATATAGTATCTTTAATTTTTATTCAAGATTTTCTTTTTAATTTTGTTTTGATTTTATTTTCATTTCTCTTTATTACTCTTTTTATATATTACCTCATTTCTTTTTTTTTAAAAAAACTTTTTTTCTTTTTTTCCTCTATGTAAGGAATTATTAGATTAGTAGTCTCTAATTGTAGGGTAGTAAAGAAGTCTTAATAGACATATAGTAGCTTTCTGTAGATTAATAAAGAGTAATTTTCTTAAACAAATCTTTCTTTTAGAAGGAAAATTTACTATTGTAACTAATCACATCTAGGTACCAAATAGTAGCTGAGTAAGTTTGGACTTGAAAGAAGAGTATGATTATAGAACTAGCTTAGTATAGTTTTTATTTTTGTTTTAGCATTGTATAAGTTTTTTCTAATAAAGAAAAGGCAAGATTATCTAAACAGAAAAAAAAATCTATCTATGTATTAGCAGAAAACTTATTCAAGAAATATAATAAATACCGTCCCAGTTCTATACTCTTTTAGACGATCTCTCTCACTAATATTTTTACAAATGCTGACCTACAAATATTATATAGTTAGTATATTTTCACACAACAAAACTTTGCTGAGTAGCAACTGGAATTAAGAGTTTCAGATTGCATGTGAGCAATATGAAACAGAGTTGAAAAAGACTGCTCCTTGTGAGTTTGGCTCTCCAGTAGAAGTCTACAGAGCTATTGAAAAAGTAGCTTTAGCAACAACCAAGGAAGTATTTGTCAAGTCATATTCAAGCAATAGCAAGAGTATAGACTTGGTAAAATACACTATTCTATATAATGTATACTCCTACAAATCTTTACTATTGGTACTCTCATATTACGGTCCTCTTCTTCATCATTTGGCTTTTGGTATTTTTTTTACAAAAAAGTAGCAATGCAGCTCACACATTCAAAATAATCAGCAATGTTTACTCAATCCAAATTGGGAATACACCTACTAAATTGAAGATAACATCATGTGAGCTCTCTGTACAAATCAACAATGACGAAATAGTGATGTAAACAAACACATATACAGGTCTTTTTGTGTTTGTTTAGATGTTCCATCCTTTACATTCCTAGCAGGGTCTTCATACTGCTAGTTTTTATTATAGTACACAATAGATTTAGAGTAAAGGCTTCATTTATTTAGAGTACTATATAATTTTTATTTTTACGCAGCATCTTTTTGTTGCAACCTTTTTTCTTTCTTTTTGTTCGTATATATCGAGACTGCGATAGTCTTTTTTTCTTTACTTTTTTCATCTGTTTCTGTTATTTTTTCTTTTTTTCCATATAGATTTTTAGTCACTCTCATCTTTTTTGTTCTCTCTCCTTTTTCTTCATCCCCTATATTGCCCCTTCATAGAACTATATTTTTTCATTATTCTGCTGGAATATAGGTAGGAAAAGTTTTTAAAAAAAGACTAGGCAGTCTTGATATGGGCTAGTAGTAGCCTCCCTGGGATTAGGAAGCAAATAGGCTATCAGGTAGCCTAATGTTTTTTATGAGGGAAATTGTTACTGTGGCAGATCGCACTTGGGCACCTTAAAGGCAGCTGAGTGGATTCAGATCAGTACTTAGGAGGGTAACTTATTATAGTTTTTATAGTATGTTATCATATAGCTTCTTGTTAAACTTTCCTTAATAAAGTGATGGGCAAGATCGCCTAAGTTAAAAAAAAAAAAAAACAAAAAGACGAGATAGTTCAAATCTTAGATAATAATAATCTTGATAATAATAACAATAACCAAAAAGAATTAGGTTTCAAGAATCTTTTTGAACTTAATAATAACTTAGAAGCAGAACACCAAGATGACTCTAATAACGAAACTATTCAAACTAGGGATGTTAATGGAGTATATTGCTCCAGAGTGACTCCAGTTTGACTCCAACCCAACTTGGAGTAGATTAAAATTTAATAAACTGGAGTAAACCACAATAATAAACCAGTTTGTTAAACTGGAGTATTAAAAACTAGTTTATTAAACTGAAGTATTAAACTGATTATTAAATTGGTTTATTAAACTAATTTGTTGAACCAATTTATTAAACTAGTTTATTAAACCAGTTTGTTACTCCAATTTATTAAACTAGTTTATTAAACCAATTTATAAAACCAGTTTATTAAACCAGTTTATTAAACCAGTTTATTAAACCAGTTTATTAAATTAGTTTATTGTACAGGTCTTATGTAACAACTCATGCTTTTTTTACTCACATGTTTAAAAAATAACTAATCGGAATACTTAATGTTGGGTCATTAGGTCTTTTTAAATTTTTATTGGATAATTTCAGTATTTATTTGTTTTCAATTTTTTTTAAAATTGTTAGATCAGTTAGAACTTAATTTCTTTAAATTCTTATTAGATAGAATTGCATATTATCAGATTTTTTGTTTTTTTTTTTAAATTTTACTGGACAAGTCATACGTTATTAGATCTTCACTTTTAAATCTTCGTTTCTTTAAAATTCTTTATTTATTAGATTTTTGTCTTTCTTTTAAAAAAATTTTATTTGACAAGTCATACATTATTAGATTTCACCTTTAATCTTCCTAGATGATTGCACGTTATTAAGATTTTTGGTTTCTTTAAATTCTAATTATATTGAGTCATATTATATTTTGTTTTACTTTATATAATTCACTAAATAAGGTTATTTATTAAATTTTCACTTTTTATAAAACTTTTGTATAGCAATACGTAATTATGTTTTTGCTTTTAGAATAGACTTGAGTTTCATTTTTTTTTTAAAAAAAAATTCTTGTGAATGAGATTTTACATTATTAGCTTTATGTATGAATTTTGATTTAATTGTTAGATATTTTGTATGAAGAATTAATAATTTAAATTATAAATTCTTTTTATTTACGCTGTTATCTAATATGTGTAGTTAATATTTCATGACAATAGTAAAATTAGAGATGAAGGTGACACATAGGTTGTTATATCAGACTCGTACAATAACTATAACTTTTTATGTTAATTGATCGGTAATTTGTTTACATTCTATTTAGTGTAAAAATTCTGTATAACAGAGGTGAATAAAAATATTTTAATTACAAAGAGAACTTAAATACGGAATGCTACATTATAATGAATTGGCAAGGTAAAGTAAGATATCTATAATGTAGAGCAACAAAAGATGGCAACTGATAATTACACGAAACTATTTCAACTTAGAGTCTTTGCATATAATAATAAATTCTATTTAATAAATAGATAATATTAAAAGAATAGAAAAGAAGAATTTGGCTCTGGTGGTAATGAGTTTAATTATGTAAAAACATATAAACTATCTAGTGATTAAAATTTAAAAGAAAGTCTTAATGCAGTACAGAATTTCAATAAGCAGTATTACAGCATTATACATGTTCCGTAATCGTATTAATTTGTAAAATTAATTCGATCACTAACTATATTTGTACCCAGTGGGTATGGTGAGTATTTTATGTGGTAGAGTGTATATAAGGAAATACTTTAAATACAATAAGTTAACCAATCATAAGTAAACGTGAAAATATATATACCCAGGTCTATTACTTGATTATGGGTATACAACCCAGTTTATCACAAATTATGGTATATTATAAAATAAAACAATCATATGAAATTAAGACGCAATCAAGAAAACCTGTAAATTGAATTATGAGCCTATTATTACATGATCATCTGTTAAAACTTCTATAGTTTGCTATCACAGATAATCAACTTGAATGATAATATTAAATAGCGAATTAAAATTTTATATTAAATTGTTATATTTCATACATATTTATTACAGCATTATAGCATTAAAACTTGTTTAGAATCTAGATTTTCTTGTTGTGTACATATATGGTAATCTAGATACTTCAATATTCAAGTTAAAAAAATATATACGATCTAGCAATTGTTCAATTTAAATTAGACTAAAAAAGAAAGTAATAGAAACTTATAATCAAAAGACAATAAGACTATTGTAAAATAGTAGACCTATCATGAATTAAACCCGAGTATGAACCAGAATCTTTATTAATTAAATGTGGTTTTTTTTTATAGAATGCCTTCATAAATACAAGTATGACTTTAATTTTTTTCTTTTCATAACATGGCCTCTGGGCGAATGCTAGTTCCCGGACCTTGTATATAATCTTTTATAGTTTACATTATGTGAGTAATCCAAGTTCACAAGTTAGTATTAGTAATTTAAATGATTTGAGAAAAAAAAGAAAATATGTAATAGAAATACTTATCATTATTGTATAGTTCAGGCTTCTTTTTAATATACTATAATAAAATTCTGTTTAACAAAATACAAATAGATTAGATAAATACAATAATAATTTATATATCACTTATTAATTAAATTATTATAAAAAAAGCTTTAATACAGTTTTTGAATTTTTAATAATGTCTAAAAAACTAAGAATTGAGAGCCAAGAAATTAATAGTGAATCTGAAACCGATAATGGTTTTGAAGAGAATGCAAGTATTAATAATAGAACTGAAAGTAAAATTGATCTTTCTACTGAAAATTTACAAGAAGTTGAGTCTGATTTAACTTATATGGTGCCTTCTACAGCTACTTCTATGGCTACTTCTCATAAATCTTCTTGGGTGTGGAAATTTTTTTATAAAGAGTATGATGATCAAAATACAATTAAATCACTTATTTGCTCTCTTTGCAAAGCACGATATAAAGCATAAAACTCTCCTGGAACACTTGCTACACATTTGCGCACAAAACATAAAGAAAAAGCTAAACTTGTACAAGCTACATTAGATAAATTTGTACCTAAACCATATTCAAAACAAGATCAACGATATAAAAAACTTACAGATTCAATTGTAGACTTTATCATTTGTTGTCAACTTCTATTTGCAATTGTAGATAATTTATACTTTATTAAAATGCTAAATCTTTTTGATAAAAAGTACGAAGTGCCATGTCGTCAAACTATAAAAAATGAAATTATGAAGTGGCACAAAAGTATGGAAGAAAAAATTAAAGAAGAGCTTGCAACAACACAAAAAGTATCAATTACTTGTAATATTTGGAGCTCTATCACAATGCAGTCTTATTTAGGTGTGACAGTTCATTATGTCAATAAAGAATGGAAATTACGACAATTTTTACTTGATTTGTGTTATTTTCCAGAACAACATACAGCAATTAGAATACAAGAACTTCTTTTAGATATTTTAGATGATACAAATATTAGTAGCAAGTTATTAGGACTTACAACTGATAATGCAAAATCAATGATAGCTATAGGTCGTGATCTTAAAACTGAATTTGCTTCAAAAGGCAATAAAGAATTAATTCATCAACGATGTGCAGCACATATTTTAAATATTGCTGTATAGCATGGCTTAGAAAATTTAATACCAGTTATTGATAAAGTTCGAGATTTTGTAAAAAAAATTCGACAATCTACTAAATTATGTGATTCATTACACACTATTTGTCAGCTTGAAAATGTTCTAGAATTAAAGCCAGATCTAGATATAAATACTAGATGGAACAGCACTTTTTTAATGATAAATAAATTTTTAAAAATGAGAAATCTTTTTGATATTCTTGTAGCTAAACATCGAGATCTTTCACCATTATATTTGCAAGATGACAATTGGAATAGACTTAAAGTAATGATAGATATACTTCATCGATTTTTTGATGCAACGGAAATTCTATCTACTTCGACATATCCAACTATAAGCGATGTTAGATTAACTATATTTGGATTAATTCGCCATCTTGATTTTTTTTTAGAAGATTCTTTGGATGATAATGATTATTTATTTATTGAGTCTATTAATTCTAAACTAAATGAGTATTGGAATTACATTGAAGAATCAACAACAATAAGCACATTATTAGATCCAAGATCTAAGACAAAAACATTTACAACTACTAAGCAACGTGAAAAAGCTATAAATATGCTACAAAATCAAATGAAAAATTATAGTAATAATCATCAACATAATCGTGTAATTTCAAATACAAAAAAAAATAAACGTTTATTTTTTGAGTCACTTTTAACTGAACCAAGTAGTAGTCCATCTATTGAAGATGAGATTACAAGATATATTACGGTACCTGTAACTTCTGATACTAATCCTTTAGACTAGTGGAACCATTATAAAGGTAAGCTATTTACAGTATATATTTTATATTAATATTAATAAAATATTTATTTATAAAAATACAAGATGATTTTCCGGTTCTTGCAACAATGGCTTCATGCTACTTAAGTATACAAGGCTCAAGCGTTCCATCAGAACAAGCCTTTTCAATAGCCGCTAATGTAATTACTAAGATACATTGCAATTTAAAACCAGAATCAGCTCGTACTGTAATGCGTTTAAAAAGTTGGATTCTAAAAATTTGTGATAAGCAAGATAATGAAAATGATTTAGATGTAGAAATTTTATCTGAATCATAAAAAAATATTTTTTCTTTTGAATAGCAAATTTCTTTCAATTATATTTTCATTAACTGGCATATTTATTTATTTCTTTAAATATAAGTTTTTTAGTACTTTGTATTAAATATAAATATCTTTTTTATTTAAATATCACATTAAACAAATAAAGATTATTGATATGAATTAATATCGATATACTTCGCATAATAGTATTATATAGCTACCTTTATCGTTATAAATTAATAGTTATCAAAAATTAAATATACCCATATATAGTTATAACAAATCTTTTTATTTTGACATATAATACAAATATACGTTCTATTTTCTATTAATATATAGTAATTTATATTGTACTAAAATTCTACATGCGAGTAAATATTAATCTAAAGTTTTTGTTAGCATTGAATTAAAAGATGTGGGCTATATTTTTATATTTACCTCTTAGTCAATCGTTTAGAATGGATTTTCATGTTGTTTGTATGTATCAAAATTTGTTCAAGATGGTAAGAAGTGATAAGATAACTATCATGAATCCAAATTCAAAGTAGATAATAACCAAAACTCAAACAAAAAAGCACTAATATGTAATAACACACTCTATCAAATACATATAAATGTCAGGATTAGCCATCCAGATTTAAATTATAAATAATTAATGTTCATATATATTGACAACTCTTTCTGCATCACTATTCATATGTGTTAGCATATATATTATTTTTAAAAACCTGTGTCAATTAAGTTATTAAAAAGAACTACATACATGTGATGTAATTGTTGGATGCAAATAGTGCTGGATGCTAAAACTTTATTAAATTACTTTAAAAAGATACATAGTATATACCGTGCAATCGATGTATAATTGAAAGTCTCCGATATTTTATAGGGGGTACTATACATAAGGTACTTTGGTGAATAGAGTGCAGTACAGATCAGTGAAGTCTTAAATACGAATAGATTACTATGAGAAGCATAGTTAGCTCCATATTTCTTCCTGCATAGATATAAGATATAAATTATCTAACGCCAGATATCAAAATATTTCCTCAAGCCGTGAAGAGACATGTGAACTGATTTCACATCTATAACAATAAAATGACTGAATTCTGAAAGAACAATAAAAAAATTGTTTTCATAAATAATTATCATGCTCATTAATCGAGACAAAAACCTGTTAAAGAAATGTTCTAAATCCATACAATATATAAATATGGTAGTATGCGATTTATTATGTGATGTCTAAGTACAAAAATTTACATTTTGCTGCGTTTAATATATTGTCCAATTAGTTACTGTATTTTCATATAATAACGCTCATGAGCGTTATTTAGAAAATTGCAACCCTTAAAAATACCACATATAGTTTCAAAATAACGCCCATGCGCATCCCTAAATAACGCGCATATTATAGTATTTTTAATAAAATATAAAAAGTGCATCGAAAGTAGATTTGGTACTAAGTA